TAATAATACTTATACGCAACAATGCACAGAAAGAAATAATTTATACAAAATTGGTACAATACAAAGAATTTAATAAAAATTAATACAAATATTTCTTTAGTTTCAATTGACTGTGGTTTATGGACTCCAACTTTATCTTTGATAATGCGTTTCTAAATACTTACACCGAGGTGTTTTGAGTCTTAAAGAGTTGTAAAAACAATAAAAAATCTAATGGGAAAATAGTTATAAAATAACTTCAACTTAGTTTACAACTGAACAACATTTATAGTTTTATATTTCCTTCTTTTTTGTTGACTTTATTTCCAACTTTATCTCTGATAATGATTTTGTAAATATCTACACTGATGTGTTTTGAGTCTTGAAATGTTGTTAAAATAGTCATGTATTCTATAGAGAAAAATGTATAGGTAAATTACGAACAAATGCCAGAATTAATAATACTAATACGCTGTAATGTACCAAAAGTAAACATTTAATAAAATAGGTATAACCTAATGGATTTACTTTAGAAACATCACCAAAGCTTAGCATAAGAATATATATCATCATTTTAAATTTAAAAATGACCTCCAACTTATATCTCTTTCGAACAATTTACTTTAAAATGTTTTTCTAATTTCCCCAACATTTCTTTTACCAACAGCGTACGGAAAAGTAAATTTAGACTTTTCTTTAGTAAAATTTATTATTTTATAATGCAAATGTTTACATTGAAGTGTTTTGAATCTTAAAATGTTTTAAAAATAATAAAGTATTCTATAGAGAAAAAAATATAGGTAAATTAAGAAAAATGCCAGAATTAATAATAATAATACGCAGCAATGTACCAAAATTAATAATTGATGTAAAATAAGCCTAATATAATAAATTTTTATAAAAATAGCACCGATGCTTAGTATTCAAACATATATCATCATTTTAAATTTAAAAATTACCTCCAACTCATATTTGTTCTAAACAATTAACAATAAACCAAAATTTCTAATCAAACATAGAAATTGTAGTTAAAAATTCCCCTAAATTACCTTCATAATTTTTTGTATCAACAACATACGAAAAGGTAAATAGAACAAACAATTTTGCAGAGTTCAAAAAAAAAAAAAAAAAATGTTAACATTTGATAATTTCCTTCCAATGAAAAATGACTTCACTCTGTCAGTGGCACTGTCATCCAAACGTATATGGAAAGTAATTCTATTTAGTTCCGCTAACACTTATTTCACACTTAAATAAAAAAGCTAAATATGTTGTTGTTGTTGGTATTTTGTTTTACAATTATTTAGTCATTATTTGCCTTAATGAATTTTCAATGAACATTACCATTGATGGGTATCGATCGGGGTTTACCGAAATAAATTCAAATACTGCCTGTATTGATGTGTGTCACTGAAGTTGAATGATTATGATGATGATAATAAGGTGTGTATGTGCGTGCTAATTAAATTTGTCAATATTTTGTTCTCGCGGTAAATTACGCACAAATAGGTTTATTTGTTTGAATTTTTGGAGAGAGTGGGGTATGCGTTAGAGGTGATTTTTTAAAACTCACAATATCGGGGAGCAGAGTCCAATTAGTTGCAGTCAATGGAAATATTTTGAAAAAAATTATAATCAGAAGCCAATACTGATATCAGTTGGGTAGACTATAATATTTGGGGGAGGGGTCTCCATATTTCAATTGTAGATTAGCAGTATCGTCAAGGAGGACTGTAATTCGGGGATCTCCATACATCAATCGTTGATTAGCAATATTGTTAAAGGAAGCCTACTTTGATATAATTAATATATATGATTAAAATCTGTTTTCTCCATTTATGATTAAATTATTATTAGTTTTTTAATGTCAATTTCCGCTTTTGGGTTTCAATCACTTTCAATGACATGACAAATTGGCATTGTACTTAAGTGGCAAATTTTCTGCGAAGTGTATTCAATACAACCAATTTTTCATTAAGAAAAAAAAAAAAAAAAAAAAAAAACAAAAGCAAAATGAAGTCAACATCTAAATAAAAACCTATGAAAGCAATCGGCACATAAAAATTAAATGTCAGCAAAAGTCGTGTGGGTGTTTTTGCATAAAAAAATACGAAAACAAATTGCATGCACAAAGTACAGTCAAACAAGGTTGTAATGGAATAGATGCAACTTTCTCCTATAGAGTAAAAATTAAAATAAAAATAACTTATAATAAAACCAGTAAAGAAAGATCAAAATTCGGGCGGGGTGATACCCTACACCCCTATGCGTATTTAGTAGAGCTCACGTAACAGAAAAGTTTATATGTGAAGTAGATCATACCGACTATGAACCAAATAGCATTGCTGTATAGTGCATAATATGACTTCGATAAGGATTATATTAAAAATATTTATTGGAGCAATAGATATACCGGTTCGGTTACTTTGAAAAAATCTATTCAATTTTGGGCTGATATTACATACATGGTGAGCGATAAACGTAAAATCGGATGAAGGTGTATATCGCAGTTATATAAAAATCTGAACCGATCTCAATAAAATTTCGCAGACATTTTTTCGAGCAGTATCTGATGCCCGGTATAAAATATCATTGTTGTGGAGTGCATATTACGCATGTGAGGGACTTGAACACCAAATCGGATCAAACATATATTTGTGGTAGCTATATCCAAATCTTAGGATAAATTAAGTCGAATTTGCCAAAATTCAGTCCATTAGGCCTGATATTGTCCATTTGGTGCACAATAAACCTGATGTTGGATAAATATATACATATCAGTATCTGATATCTGGTATTAAATATCATTCTTGTGGAGTGCATATTACTAATACGAGGGACTTAAAACTCCAAATAAGATGAAACATATACGGGAGCTATAGCTATATCTGAACCGATTTTCACCAAATTTGAAGTACTTGTTTTTAGGATGAATTAAGTCGGAATTGCCAAATTCAGTCCATTTGGGGTGATATTGGCCATTTGGTGCACAATAAACCTCAAATCGAACAAAGATATATATGAGAGCTTTATCCAAATCTGGACCGATCTTGACAAAATTTTAGGCAATTATTTCTGATTTGTGTCTGATATCTGGTACCAAAGATTATTTTTGTGGAGTGCATATTTGGAGTGTAAATTTGATGTACAGGGTGATATGAAAAAACTGCAACCCATTTCAGACTGCTGTCATTTCTAAGAGACTCGCCCGACAGCTGATAAAATTATTCCAGTGACAGCTCATTATTATACAAAAGCATTTTGGTGAGAATTTTCCCGAAAAAAAGTTATTCATGATGGAATTCAAGCGTGATAGTGTGATTTCTTTATATTTGGCTGGAAACCCCCCAAGTTGCTATCGTTAGAGCACTCCAGCATTTAAATGTGAATAAATCGTTTGTGTCTCGTACCATCGCTCGTTACCGTGATACTGGTAGCGTAGCCCGACGTCAAAGAAGTGGACGGAAGAAAACAGCAACATCAGCAGAAATGATTCGAAAAGTAAAGAAGCGACTTGATCGAAATCCGCGTCACAGTGTACGAAAAATGTCTCCTGAGCTGAACATATCTCGAATATTGAAAAATGAGATTGAGGTAAAGCCATTGAAATTCCCAAAAGTGCAAGAGCTTACACTGCAACAGAAAGTAAATAGATTCAAAAGAACTACAGAGCTGCTTCGCTTGGCCGAAAGTGGCGTACTGCCGAATTTGGTTTTCTCTGATAAGAAAACATTCGTTGTCGAGCAAACAAAATGATCGTGTTTACTTGCCAAAGAAGTCAGCTGAAAATGTGCACCTTCGGTTGGCCACCAGAACTCAAGCGCCGGCCATGGTGATGGTGTGGCCTGCCATAACAGCCGATGGTCACTCTCCGCTCTTACTAATCGACTGTGGCATCAGAATAAATGCCGAATTTTATTGCGAAAATATTCTGGAGGGTGTAATAAAGCCTTGGGCAAGCAAACATTTTGGCCGCAGACCTTGGCCATTTCAACAGGACTCAACACCATCGCACTCAGCATGCGCCACGCAAGAATGGTTACAAAATGAGGTTTCTCGCTTCATTTCCAGCCCACAATGGCCACCAAAATCTCCGGATACCAATTGGTTGGACTATTGCGTCTTGAGTATTTTGAAAAGCAAGGTTGACACTAAAATTTCCAAAGTGTCGATTACCTCAAATAAGCCCTTCGCCGGGAATGGGCCAAAATACTGCAGAGCAACATTCTGGCAGCGTGTGACGGTTTCATTGGCCATAATTCGTGCCAAAGGTTACCAATTCGAGTCAATCTAAACTTATTTTAAAATTTGATGCTATTACCGACATTTTTTGCTTTCATTCAATAAAATTAAAAAAAAAAAATTATAGTGTTTGACTTTGTTGCAGTTTTTTATCTCACCTTGTACTTGTTTCTACACTGAATTCGTTAGAATGTGCCAAATTTCGGGTGATTTAGACTGATATTTTTCATTTGGTGCAAAATTAACCCAAATTCGGTTGAAGATATATATAAGAGCTTATCTAAATTTAAACCGATTCTCACCAATTTCAATAGGGTCCGTCCTAGTGTTTGGAAAATGTTATCTCTATTGGATAATAAATGCGACATTCATTTTTTTTACAAAAATACATGGTCAGACGGATTGACATGCATAAATCGATTTAGAAAGTGATTCTTTGAAGACCCTCGAAAGTAACAATGGGTCTATCTCGCTTCCTTCTCCATGCACAAAGGCATATTACCCTTGCCACTACGTGGTGTAGGGTATAAATAGTAAAAAAAAAATACATAAACAAATTAGTAAATCAAAAATTAATAAATAAAATTAGACACAAAGACATGAATTAATAAGTCAATGAATATATTTATAAATATATTTGTATTTTGAAATAACCTGGTCGAATAAACTATATTCCACTGTCTTGGTATAAGTTTGCAAAAAAGGAAATGAATAATAAAACCAAATTGGCATCATTGAATGGGTTATTCGAAGTCATGTTTTTATTTTGCATTACTCACCTTATAATTAAGAATTATATTTATTTATATACCCCTGAGGTAACAAATAAACAATTTATGCCCCAAATTGGTATCTGTAATAAAGAATTGAAAAAAAGTATTATTGCTTTGCTTAAAATGAAGTGGAACTTATGAGAAAAAAATAACAAAAGAATCAAAACAAAATCGAAAATATAATCATAATTTATTAAAAACAACAAATGACTTAATAAACCGGTCAAAATCGTTTAATATCGACCGGTTTTGAGTTTATTAAAAATCTCTCATTTGTGATTCTGTGTTCTTTTTTTGTATTAATTACCCGTATTCCCCCAAACTAATTAAATTTCTTTGAGTTTCACAAACGTTAAATATCGAATCAAACATCTGTTGATGTTACGTTTTTAACTTAGTCTGAATGCTGTCACCAGGTTAAGTATTTTTTCTCAATGTGGGTAACTTCCTCGAAGTAGTTATTTTTAATATTTTTTGGCGGTTTTTACAAGTAGGCGGAAAATACACTATACACAGTGAATTTACATAAATTATTTAAAAAAAAAAAAAAAAGATTTTAAATCCAAAAATTCCCCACAGAGATAATATGTGGGGCAGGAAGTAAACGACAACGTACGTAAGAATAATAAATAATATTAAAATGAAAATACCTTTATTATTTTTAATTAATTTTTGAAGGATTTTACAAGGTTATATTTAGTTGTCGAATTAAATAACATTGTTTTCATCGTCTTGAATTGGTTAAAGGAGACAATAGTCGAATATTTATTAATTTATCATTTTTGAAAAATGATTATGGATTTTTGTAAATCTTGTATGAGTCTGCCGAAGTGACTGCCTTTAGTAGAGCTACCAGTAACAAATAAATGATTATATTAAAAATGTATGCCATATAGATCATACCAACTATGAACCTATTTTCCATGCGTATTATGGCTTTAGAAGAGTTTTAATTTATAATCAGAGAGAACTTATATATGGGAGGTATATCCAACTCTGAATCGATTTCCACCGAGTTTGACGAAGGAATTGTGCCAAATAACATTACTATAGAGTGTATGACTTCGTGAAGGGTTATATTGAAACAATTGAAAAAGAAGCTAAGTTCGACCGGGTCGAACTTTTAATACCCTCCACAATTTTGAAGGAACCTGAAGAATTTCAAAAAAGAAAAAAAACCGTATAAAAGTACCCTTTACATAAAACTCCATATATGGGGATATACGAATTCGAGGTCCAATATAAGTAATTTTTTGACACAGGCTGGAGTATCGATTCCGAGATTCAAATACGAAATTTGAAACAATTCCAGAGAGTAATGAGTAATAATGAATAAAGGGATGAATGGTTATATGGGGGCCATACGAAGACGAGGACCTGCATACTCGATTTTTTGTTCCCATTATGAAATTTAAATATAAAATTTGAAACAATTTCGGTAAAAAGTGTCGAATTCAGCTTCACCCCTTTCAGCCAAGCGAAGCAACTCTTTAGATTCAATTTTCTTTCTGTTGCGGTGTAAGTTCTTGCACTTTTTGGAATTTCTATGGCTTTACCCCAAGCTCATTTTGCAATATTGGACGAATGGAATATTGCGATGTGTTCAGCTCACGAGCCATTTTTCGGCCACTGCTATGCGGGTTTCGATCAAGTCGCTTCTTTACTTTTAGAACCATTTTTGCTGATGTTGCTGTTTACTTCCGTCCACTTCAATGACGTCGGGCTACGCTACAAGTATCACGGTAACGAGCGATGGTACGAGACACAAAAGACTTATTCGATTCCATCACGAATAACTTTTTTCCGGAAAATTCTCAAAAAAGTGCTTTTGTACGCTTGTAAACAATATAATGAGCTGTCACTGGAATAATTATAACAGCTGTCGGTTGAGTGGCTTAGAAATGACAACAGTCTGAATTTGGTAGCAGTTTTCACAATTGTTACCTAAATTTGCTGTATATTGGCAGTAAGTGTTCTCATTATGTAAGAAACATCCTGGCATAGAATTGTCAATATAGGCCTGAGTTTGGGATTAGTCTTCATTTTTTTACTTTTCATTGGAAATTTTACAAATTTGGAATTTGAATTTCCTAATCGGTATTATAATCTATGACAAAAAATTGCTCATGCAGGTCGACATCGGTGTATTACGCTTCCTTCCTATATTCGGAATTTTGATTTTAAGCACTTTTAACAGACTTATTTCAAACTCGGTGTTGGGAGTTCGTAAACAGAATTAACTTCTCTGGCAGATAATTGACTGTAAATGTCCACATTTTCGTTTCGCCCCATATAACTGGAACACCTGATATTCGAAATTTTAACAATTATAGCGGTATATTTTAATCGGACCTCTGAAAAACTAGCTTAAATTCCTGGGAGCAATCGAGGAATCTCACTTCCTTAGATGTCACTTGAATAGGAGGAGCATACTTTCCTCGTTTTTAATAGGAGCAAAACTCGTGTAAAAGAGAGCAGATTTTATTCTTGTCGAGCACTATTTTTTTTGTTTTTGTTGTTTTTCTATACATGTGTATTTTTTCTCGCCCTTCACAACCCGCTTTTGTTACACATACAAATTAGAAAACAAAATATTTTTTTTTTATTTTTTTGATACAGGAGTGACTCGGAAGTGCTCCAATACAAAACAAAAGAGTTAAGAGTAGACTAGGTAAAAAACTCCTACTTTTCAAGCAATCCTGCTCTCGAACAAGTTTCGCTCCGAGTGAAAATGAGAAAATATTGTAAGTTTCATCCAAATGGTGAGAAGTATGAACATTTGGTCGGTTCAAACTTAGATGCATTTTTAATTGTTATTTCACAGATATTTTTAGCATTTTTAATTTTAATTTAAAATGTAAAATGTTTTTTATTTAAGTTTAAGATTGATTTAATTGTTTTTGGAATACCTTTTTGGATTTTTGAAAATATTTTTTTTAGGAAAATATGTTTATATGTTTTCTTAAGAAAATATTTTAATATGTTTTTAAATAATTTTGAGATATTTGCTAGATGTATTATAAGTTATTATAAAAATACAACATTTGCAACATTTTAGAATTTTAGAATTTTCTATCTCATTTTTTGACATTTTAAATGCATTTTTCATTTGAGATTTTTTTAAGGTTTAATATTATTTCATAACTTGTTGGCATAATTATAGGGTTTTTAAAATAGTATATATATTATTTTGAATTATAATAAGGTACTTTTTAGTATTTTGCTTGTCGGTCGTATGCTAATTTCCTAATAACAATTATACACAATATTTGAATACAGAATCGAAATACTAATATGTACTTCTTAATTAACAAATTTTCTAAGAAAATGCAAATAAAACTATGAATACACTTTCTTTGTTCTGAGTATTTCTTTTTTCAATGAGTGAACTCTTTGTTATCTTATTATGAGAATGTATTATAAGTAAAATACATTGTATACTACGAGGGTATAACTATATAGTTAACAGGTACATTAGCACTCGATGAACTGAATATTGTAAAATGTAATTTATTTCGATTTCAATTTTGTAATATCATCAAATGGACTTTGAAATGCAAGGTAATATGACATGTGATTACAAATTTCATGTAAATGTTGATTAGTTTGAGCGACAATAAAAAATTAGTACAGTAACAAAGATATATGAAACCAAATGAATGAATACGATTGCAGGTAATATTACACCAACGACCCATATAAAGTTTGAGGGGCCAAAGACTGAAAGTTTGTAAGTAAAATTTAGGAAATATAAAAAAATGCAAGGAGTATTTCAATATGTTTTCTATACAGTTATTCAACAACAAAATTTAACAAGTAAAAAAGTATAAGTCGGTTTTGCCGACAGATGTATACCCTCAGCCAATGTTCGATTATTTAAATATATATTTGGACTGCTGTTATGATTATTCAAATATGGATCCTTTATGGAGTAGGTTCCGAAGGAATGGGCCAATATTGTCCATTTCGTATCGGCCCTAAATAAATATGAGATAAATATTGGGACGTGCCAGATTTGGACTATATTGGCTACTTCCTTCAATTTATTTGAAAAATATAATAAATTTTAGAGAATGTTGAAATGTGCTTCAGGTACCAGATATAGCCGATCGAAGTATTCCATTTTCATCCTTCATCTAATACATATAAAAATTTTGGTATGGGCAAAATTACATAATAAATTCCATATTCATCTCAGGTTTCTGGTTGAGAGAAATATTTAGATATAGCAAGTTGTAAAGAATAGCTGACTTGTTTCGCAAGTTATGACAGATAAAAGTATTGAAAATTGTGACCCTTTGTGGGTGAGGTACAAGATGGGATTCGCAGATATATATCATCTTGGCAACAGATCTTGTATTAGCAAATATGTTTGTTGTGTGAAATTTGAAGAGATTTGGGTGCTTATTTGGCTTTCTTTATGCGTTTTGTTTTTCAAAATCTTGAACCCAATGTGGGACATGTAGCAAAAGAAATGGTCCGATCTCTACCATATTTCTAACAGATCTGATGGAAATTTTGTGATGTACCAAGTCTAGAATGGAATCGGATGTTAATTTCGCTTTTTATGATCTTCGTGGATATTTAAAATTTCGATCTTTTGTGGGGGAGGTACCAGAAGGAGTTGACCGATATATTCCATCTTAACACCAGATCTTGAGTTTATAAGAATATTGGGTTGAGTAAAATTTTAAGCAAACGGATTCTTACATCAGGGTTGTAATTAATCAAAATTTTGAGTCTTTGTGGGGGAGGTACTTGATGGAGTGCACCGATGTTGTCCATTTTCGCACTTGACCTAGAACTGACGCAAATATTACGATTTGCAAAGTTGGAGCAAAATTATCGTTTCCGAATTATCGTTTCCCTTTCTGTGTAAAAATATATATTTTGAAAATTTCGACCTTTTGTGGGGGAGATAGCAGAAGCAGTAGACCAATATATTCCATCTTAAGGATGTGTGAAATTCGAAGACAATCGGACTCTTATATCACAATTTATAAGAGTTGTAATTATTCAAAATGTTGCCCCTTTGTGAGGGAGGTACTTGATGGAGTGGACCGATATTGTCCATTTTCGC